GGGTATGTGGTAGTGTTATTTGAAACTAATGTTTAATTTAATTTAATTTTCCTTTTATTCACATTCAGAAAGCCTTGTGGCTTGTATTGGAGGAAACGGATGAAGCCAAAAATAAATTGTTTCAAGGGCTTGTTGCACCAGCTAATCGAAGTTTGATCAGAGATTTGTGTTTCTAACTGCTACGTTGTAACTAACTTGTAATGTGCAGCCTGTTTTTTATAGTCAAGTTCTCACACTGTGTTGAAATTAAACAGTACATAGCTGGTGCAACAGCCCACAGGTCTGAATATTTCCCTTCTTCCAAATTTAACCCACATTTGTCAGAAAAACAAGCCACAGTTTAACTTTTAGACTTTTTTACATGTAAAACTGGCCAAACAATAACAACAACAACCAAATGGAATCTAATCTAATAGTAGAATCTGCTCGACAAAATTGAAAACATTACCCCATACCTGAAGTTTGTGTGTTTCTGTTCTTTAATTAGAAGAAATGTTAGTTGTAGTAGTTTAGAAGTTGCTGACGCAGTTGGTGGTGGATTGGCTTAAGTTTTAATCACCTTGAATATTGTGCTTCACAGTAGATACTTGATCTTCTCCCTTCCTTCCACATGTTGAAGATCACAGTCACTCATTGCACTTAATCAATGACCTGGATTACTGCCACTGTAATCAGTTGAATTCATTTATCATCATACTTTCAGTCCTTTATTTATATTATGCACTTGTGGTTTCCTACTCTATTCTATCTCTTCTTTCACTTCTCCACCTTTTTTCTCATTATATCTCTCTACCTTTACTTCTTCCCACCCATTCTCGTCTCTACTTGTTTCTCTCTTTATATCTTTATCGTTTATTTATTTTTTTTTGTCCTCTCCTCCACTATCATGTATTGTCTGTTATAGTTTGTCCTTCTTGTTTTAAATATATTTATTGTTTGGTCATGTGTTACTTTAGTAAATGCGTTCCTTGTTTCCACTTGTTCCAGAGTTTTTCAGTCATAGATGATTCTAACGCTGCCAGTCCCAGTTCAGACATCTCTGGGTTAGTTGCTGAACCCAATCTGTCTGGGCGCTCACACACTTTAATCTTCTCTTCCAGTGAGGTGAGTGCTCTCCTTGTTGCACAGTCACAAAAGCTGTGTGGGACGCCTTGATGCAGCTGAAAGGGGACATTCTCAAGCATGCTCTTTGAGCCTCCCCTCTTTCATAGCTGAGATTAAATCATGAATGGAGAGGGACTAGAAGAGAGCTGCATGTGTGTGTTAGAGCTGTTTTGTCTTACAAGTCTTGCGGCTTAGCTTTTCTTAAGTCAGCTGTGATGTTAATAGTTTGAACTTTTGCCTCTGTTAGAGCTGTCAACCAGTGCTTCATGTTTTACTTTACAAGCTTTGACAGACCATAGGACGATGTTGACTGCTCTGCTGCCTGCTCAGTGGTGTTTCACCGTCTGTTTTTATTCATTTATATTTATTTATTTATTATATTAAGTCATTTCTTTTCAAGTGTCTCAGTCTCTCTCAGTAAAACATATGAAGACGCACATTGACATGCATCCGAGAATGTTGATATTTTGCTGTTATTGCACGCATTGTTTTCTCAGCACTAGCTTGGGGAATTCGTACACCGCACACAGTTTTGCTCATCAGCAGAACTTGCGCTACATGTCCTTTTTCCTTGATGTATGTGCTGTAGTTTTTTTTATTTTTTTTTATTCCGGCCCCCAGCTTCCCTTTCCTCTAACTTAAACTCCTTTTCAGCAGTTTCCTCACAAAAGAATACGTTTATTCAGATTAAATAATTTCAAATTCCATTTATTTCAGTGATTTTTCATGAATGAACTGGAATACAAACTCCAATGTCAGCATTTCATCAATTGTTTTGTAACTGTGCATTAATAACACTGACCCAAACTGTCAAACACATGATTCATGGCATCAAACGGCTGTTGCTTATTGTTTACAGGCACCAACTATATATCTTTGCCCTAAGTCTTTGTAATGTAATTTTTTCATGCACTAGACACGAGTAATAACCTTTTTCCTTTAGTATACAACAACATATGACACAAAATAGTTAGTTACTAAAATCCACAAGGTGGTTTTCAGAATCCTGCACCGAAATAGTCAGGAAAAAAAAAACACTTCAACAAAAAGAATAAAATGGTAAGTCTCTTACTAAAGCAACAGTATGCTTATTTTTATAGTAATATCTGTTTGTATTATCTGTGTCCTCTGTAGACATTGGATGATGAGCCAGTAGCTACAGGAAAAGAATATCAGTGGCAGAACCGCCCTGTCTCTGAATGGACCAATCAACAGGTCTGTCACTGGTTGATGGGCATGAATATGGACCAATACACGCCTGAATTCACAGCTAAAGGAGTCGACGGACAGCAGCTCTTGCTCTTGGATAGTGACAAATTGAAGGTAAAATAAGTCATGTAGTCAGGTCTTGTCGGCCTTTGACTGCCACCTTATGGCCAGAAGCATTTAAGCCAGAGAGAACACTGTAATTCCCAATTCATATTTAACATCTCTGCAGCCTTGGTGGGGAAAAGACAAGGAGAGAAAATTACAAGATAAAATGAATGACTTGGGATGATAGAAGAACTACACATCATTGCTGATGTGAAGGACTTGTTTGGCAAAACTCACACTGATCATATGAAGTTGAGAAGAAACAATTAGTTGCTTAATCAACTAGCCGATCATCATAAAATTCATTGTCTATAATATTTAGAATTATTAAATGATAATTCTAAAAGGTTTAATGGTTCACAGTTTTGTAAAATTGTATTTGCTCCAACCTATAACCTTCAAGAATATTCCCCACTTAAGTTTTCCTTGTATGACAATAAACTTGACGTCTGTGGATTTTGCACTTGTTTGGACAAAACACGCTGAAGATCTCATATCAGGCTCTGGCAGCTCTGAGAATACAGCAGATTAATCAATGATTAAAAAATTAGTTGCAGAGCCCTACTTTGGTTAACTTATTTTTTGATATTAAAGAAATATGGTAGCATTATTCTGCCCTAAATCTGTGCACTTTTTCCTTCAGGCACTTGGTGTGTCGAGTCAAAGCGACCGTTCAACTATCAAGAAAAAGCTGAAGGACATGCGCAAGGCCCAGGAGAAGCTGGAGAAACAGAGAGAGAAAAGAGAGAAGGAGGTTCGACGCAGTGGGAAGCTGCCAGTCAGTACCGACTCTGTCTGCTGAGGTAGCAGCTCTGCACTCTGAATTTATGTAGCATAAAAGCTCATCACCATGCAGAACTCTGAGAAAACCTTTTTTTTTTTTTTTTATACTGATAGTGCCATGCTCTTCATGTCACATGATGTTAATGCCAACAAATGCAGAATGTGACTATGCCAGGAGTGTATCTATTCTGACTGAGGTGCCGGTTGTGATTTATGTTCATACTGTAGGTCCCATTTCTTTTCTCATCACTACTTCCTCCCAAATATTTTAACAAACTTCAGCTTAAACCATTTTCACCGAAAGATGGGGAATGTCAAAAAACACAAAAGTTGGGTGTGTGACCAAAAAGGTATCCTAACATTTTTTACCACTAAAAAGCTAGAAGCTATAATTAATTATAAAAAGTCTGTTATCAGATATTATGTAGTTGTTTAGTTGTTGCAGATCATGCACACATTTACCTAAGTCAAATGTATACTGCTTTTTCAGCATTTTATATTTTTGCTAGTATAACTTGCCTGTTTCCATGTACAACTCTTTTGCAGGAATGATTATTGTACAGTTCAGATAAAAGCACTATATTTGTCTTTTAAGCTTCAATGGGCGACAAGGTTTTAAATGTATAAATAAGTTTTATACACGTGCCTATTAACTGCATATCTTTTTTTTTTTTTTTTTTTACTTAAAAACCATTGTTCATTTTATACTATCTAAATTTTCTACTAAGTAGAATAGCTAGGCAGTCGTTTTTGCTGAATGGAAAGCAACACACAAATCAAGTGGGAACAAGGTGAATGCTGCTTCTGCTGTCCCTGACTCTGACTGTATTGCTGCAATGGTACCATGATGCTCCATGTAAATACACTCAGCATGCAGGTCTGCTACATGTACACCTCACTGGTCCATTAGACAGTAAGATGAGCCTATGACAAGGACTTGTGTGAGTCAGGAGCACAGCGTCGTGAATGAATGTGAGGCTGAACGACGAGAGTTGACAGCCAAACTGAGGTGCTTCCTTTCTTCTTCTCAAGCATGACTCCATGTTCTGTATAGAATACGACATGATGGACTGCAAGAAAATTATATTTTCCACCTCTTCTGAATTGGAGAAAAATTTCTTGGTACATACAGCATCAATAAACTAATTTTCACTTTACCTGATGTGTTTTTCTTGTAGTCTTCACGGCTCTTCATTATGACTTAAGTGTTTTGCATTAACAGTGAGTACCAGGTAGCAACAGGGTATGTTAATTGCAGGATTACAGTGTAGTACCTTGTTTACATTGCACAGGTGCTTGTACTTCTCTGGTCGCTCACTGTAATCTACAATAGATCACACAAGGCTGCTGTCAGCTGGCAGTTTCACAAAACAAATTTTCCATCAGATAAGGACCAACATTTTTTTTTAACTTTGGGGTCATTCTACAGAAATGTCAACTTACGGAAAGGCAAGATGTCTTTAAAAAAAAGTTTTTTTTCTAACATTTAAACTTGGACCATGCTATTAGATAACTCATTGACTTTATGAATACACGTAAATGACATCTTAATTAAATGTGTCTTTTTTGTCACTGGTGTTACTTTACGCCTTTGGCAATATTAAAGGCTATTTATGAAATTGTTCAAATAATATTGTTTTATTTTAGTCAAGCAGGCAGTGCCCACTGTCATGATGCATATTTAAAAAAATAAATTTAGTAGCTCATGAACAGATGAGCTTTTTGCCTTCATTTTCATTCATCTCTACTCCACTTACATAAAGCAAAAATAAGAATCTACATTTGTAATATATCTTTTTTTTATTGAACATAATCAATACAGTGTAACTGTTGAATTGTATCTTATTGATCAGGATAAGTCCTAATAATACAACCACAGAAACCCAAATACTTTATTTTGCTGTAACATTGAGTGATATAACTACTGAGGAAAAAAAAAAGGATTCACCTTGTTCCGCAGCACCTTATTTGCAAATGAACTGAGGACTAATGATAACTTAATATGTTGCAAACCCACTTAAAGACATCAGCATGCATATTTTTCTTTAGCTGTGTCGCATTCCATTATTCTGTTTCACTCGCAGGAAAAAAAGGTGATTACCCTTTACATATGGCAAATCAACACTTTTGATCTCATTGCTTGTATAAATCATTCAGCTGAAGAAGAAATGCCCTAAATGAAAACATTTTGAGAACACAAGACTTATCTGCAGAAATTCCCAACAGATTTTTTAAAAAACAAGCAGCAATCAATTGTGTAACAAGTTTTCCTTTTCTTCCAAAGTATCAAACTTCACACAGAGGAGAATGGATGGGCAGAGCTGAACCAAGTTCACCTTTCAGCAAAATAAAAGCAGCGAAGCAAACAAGGAGAAGCTGTCAACTAGTAGAGCAAACTGCAAACTGTAAAGTTGAACAGTTCATACCTTAAATGACGAGTTGACCTAAATTACAGAAATGTACTGTATTTTCCTTTTGTACGAATGGTATCTCACCATGCAGTTTCAGGAGGTGGGATTTCCTGCTGAAACCTCTGCTGTCACCCTTGTACATGAAAGTCGAAACTTTTTTGTTGTTCTCAAAGCATAAACATAACATTTTGGTCATGCTTTAGCTGAAACGTAATTTCAAAAATGACTGATACATTGATCCAATTTATGTAGCTTATCACTGATATATTATTATTGTTCATAAGCATCTTCAGAAAGTGTTGCAGTTACATAGTTTGTCCACCAGGGAGTACTGACAAGTTTATTTTTACACTGTAAAATGTCCTGCTCAGCACGTCTTGACAATTCTTAACCAATTTTAAGGGCTCTGAATAAAAAATAAATAAAAAAAAGTGTGCTTATTTTATATGTTTATGATTTTTTTTTTAAAGTATTGGTCAAGCAATCAGTCAAGATTTTTTTAAGACTCAAATATCAATGAAAAAGTACTGACCTCAAAAATGTAGTATTGGTTGGGCCTCACTTTGAACAGCGGCGTGTCTCTCTAGAAAGCTGGTCCTGGTTATTCCCAGTTATAGAAGTAGGATTTTTTTTTTAGAGTGAAAGTTGCTCAACTCCACAATGTTTATACCAAAAACTACTGCTCTATATGAAATATATGGCACTAAAACTTTGTTCTATTATTCTTTCTATTTACTTACTGGACAAAGAAATCTTAACTGATTGACTAGCATTACACGCACACCCAAACCATTCAATTACTACAACCTCTCTTGCACACTTTGCTACCGGACCGTTTGTCATTTGATTCTAGAAACTACGAAACGTTGTCATGTCCTTGGGCTCTTTGCTCGGGACGCACCAGTCGTCGGCCTCATGCATCGTCTTGTAGTGTTTCCACGCTGACTTGTTGTACACAGGAAGCCTCTCGATAGACTCTGTGGAGAGTGCCTATCAGAAAATTGAGAGAAAGTTGAAAACACGTGCACCCATTCTGCCTTTCTTTGGAGAGATTTGTTTGTATGTGTAAAAAAAAAAAACTCAATTACCCGAATGTAGATCACGGCATCAGTTCCATAACCCTCCAGAGAGTACAGCTTCAGGTCCCCTTGAAAGTACCGCGCATACAGTCGAGAGATGGGCAGACCATACCCGTAGCCAGCCTGCACAAAAACAAAGCAGAGTTCACCTCTCCAGCCTTGACAGAACCCAGATATGAGCCCCACAATCTAAAACAACAGAGCAGTCAGCTGTGTATGGTAAAGAGCAAATACTACGACAGTCATATTTGTAAGAGTGAAGTCAGTCTGGCACTGGAACAAATTGACAATACAAATTGTAGATGCATTGAACAGGAGTCAGAAGCATCAAAAGCTCAAGGGTTACTACATTGACCTGTTGAGTTGAGAGTGTTTTGTCATCTAATTGTATAATCATTTCAGTAAAGGGACAAGATTTTGGTTACAAACTTTGTTGTGAGGGCTGAGGGGAAGGGTGGGCTGGCTGAAGTCAGTATTACTATAATGAGAAGAATTCTGGTCTGTTATTGACATGATGATAACACCATCACGTTACACTTTCAGCAAATGTTCATTATGTCATTTCATTTCAGGTTCGAGATGTGCTCTTTTACAAATATCTAAATTTTAAAAGGTTAATGGGGAAGGTTTGCCCACAATTTCTCTGCCCGCTTTAACCACCAAAAAACTTTTAACTTTTAAAAAAATTAATTCTGTATTCACTGCTGTTGACTGAGTTAAAAATAAAGCACTAAAATAACCACAAAACCACAGAACATGGAATAGACCCACAGTGAACGGCTTAAAGGCTTTTACAACACTCACTGTGTGACTACTTCACTGACTCCACATCTGCAGCTAAGGGGAAAAGTGTTTGACTGTTCATATCCATCCACATTAGGAATACTGACCAGAGGAGCAGCACGTGAACCATCAATGCTGGGTCGAGGAGCTGTGGAGTATGTGTAGGTGAACAGCCTGTCAATCTTCCGTAGCGGCACGCCTCCTCCGCGATCACTCACCTGAGAAAGAACATACGACAAGAACACAATACTATGATATTTTTAAGCCTTACTATACTATGATGTTTTTATACGTATATTTTATACGTTAGTATACTTTGACTTATGACATATATATGACATACTGTATATGTCCTTATATCAAGAGTGATGTTACCATATGTCACCTAGAGGAGGATTTATTATTATGTCATATATACATCCTCTGGATATATGAAAATATAAGTTTATAACATATATGAAATGCTCACAGTAAAATGCAACTTTAGCAAAACAACATGCTTATTAAAATTCTACATGTTTGTATATGATTTTCTTAATTTCTTATTAAATTTAAACACATGTTCATCTTTCATATCTTTCATTCATATTTACATATATAATATGAAAATATACTGACAGGCTTTGGGATGGACATACTAAAATACATGTATCTATTAGCTAGACATATATGTCAATATATGATATTGTTCCAATTTTTCTAACAGGTTTCATATGTAATTTTTACATTATATAGGCTTTACTTTAAATACATATATGATTTTACTTCACACATTTGCGTAAGGGCATTCCTGAATGTAAATTCTGATGCTATATATGTTAATAAACCATTTGGTTGACGGCATTAAAAAGCCAATCTCTTTGTTTTAGAGGGATGGCGAGTTGGTGCTTCCCTTCCAATGCTGACACCAAACCTTCGCCCCTGGTGCCAGATGTTCCTGATATATTGCATTGACCAGAATGGTATAAATGTGAGGTCACTGTGGCCTTGACCTTTAACCAACAAAATTTAATCAGTTGATCCTTGAGTCCAAGTGGACGTTTGTGCCAAATTTGAATACATTTCCTCAAGGCGTTCCTTGGATATCATGTTCCTGAGAATGGGACGCATGGATGGACAACCCGAAAACATTATGCCTTCGGCCACAGCTGTCACCAGAGGCATAAAAAAGAGAGTAAATCAGGGATGAATCCAGCAGATCATTCTGCAGTGCAGCAGTACAGATTTACCTTGACTGTCAGATCTTCAGTTCCCAGAGCAACCTGTGCATGGATAGCAGGATACTCCATGGCATCGCCATATAACTCCATGGTGGCCCGCATGGCGTTCTGCAAAAAGAAAGAAAAGTACACCAAAAGTAAAACTGCCTTCATTTGAGGTAACCAAATTACAGGAGGAATAAAGGATAAATTAATGTTCAGATTCTGTAAGTGTCACGCTCAGTAATGCCTATAAATTCAGAATCGCATATATGAAGGAAAGAGTCCAGAAAGCAAAACTTACCTTAAAAAGTTCAAACACCATGTGATACAAATGAGATGGAACGTAAACCATAGTGATGGGCTTTCCCTGTTCTTTGACTGTCAGAAAAAGACATCATCAAAGATTAAATTCATTTTCATCAGATGTGGCTGAATAAAACAATTAATATTTATTTATTTATTCATTCATAATGTAATTTGAAGTACTTCACATAACAAGCAAAACAGAAAAGTGTGAAATGGAAACATTATGCTTATAATGTACATAATTAAATGTGCCTGTGTGACTGTATGTGGTTTCCTTTGTCTAAAATCAAACAAATTACCGTTGAATTCCTCCAGTATCAGCTCAGGAGAGTTCATGTAATACCGGTCACAAAGATTTCGTGCATTTTCGTAGGCATCTACAAGGAAGACATTTGTTTTCAAGGAAGAACAGGAAAGACACTTTAATACTCGAATGACGACATATTTGAACACCCTCCTGGCTTGTTCTTCCTCATGTTTGTATTCTTAAACAGACATTCTCACCTCTGATAACCTCACTGACACGACAGTTTGGATCAATACTGCCAATCTGTTTAGGATGTGCTGGGTTCACTTTCACCTTCCCACCAAAGAGGAGTGCTAGGAGGAAACACACAGGGATGTCAACGTGCAAAACAGTATAACATGTTCATATTTTCAGAGGAAAACACGCCCAAAATAGACTTTATATTGCCACAGAGTTTTTCAGTGCTGCTTAAATAAAGATTTAATTATCATCCTTTAAATCCTGCAGGTGTGTTGTATGTCACACTGTAATAGATGCATCTAATAAAGTCTTAGTCGTAATCTCTGTCAGACATCATTTTCACGGCATGTCACACTCTGAAATATATGCCATCAGAACTGAAACAATACAATATAATATGATATCTTAATATAACCACAACTCTATCAGTCTTGTTTCTGTATGAATAACTGTGCAGGGCATGGCTTTGAGTGTGGTGTGTTGATTCCTGCAACGTGGTGGCAGCAACAATGAAAAGTACACATCCAAACTGATACAAAATCAAGATGGCTACCAGGGCTGTGTTCAGAAAAATAAAGCTTTGATCTGCTGCTAATGGAGCAGCATGGCTCTCTGTGACAAATCTACACTGAAATGTCACATTATCATCACAATGTTCTGCTGTTGAGGGCTTTCATCCCCAAACAAGAACAACTATAACACATTGGTAACACACTGATCATAGTTTTATGAAAGAGAAGAGAATCTGCTCACTGTGCTGGTTAAGCAGCATCCTGATGGATATCCTGCTCATGTAGAAACGATCCAGAAAATACTGAACATTTTGGCTGACCACTGGGTCCGTGCCGTAAGTCTCTTTGTACTCCACGACTCCCTGAGCCATGGTGGGAATTACATCATTGTGTCGATTTCTGATTTTTATCACAGCATCTGTGAAACTAAATGAAGATATAACAATTATAGCAAGAAATAGATGAGCTGTTTGCACTGAATAAAACTTCATAAGTGTAAAAAAGAAAATCTGCATAGTCATAGTTTGATTTACTTACTCATATGTGACTTTTTCATCGTCTGCATTTTTGTTGTTGAACTCAATAATCTCCTGAAGACTTTGCATATACCTGTGTAGGAAAAAAAAACAACCCTATCGATTTGCAGACAGTAGCATCAGCATCATTTGAGAGATGACTGAGAAAAAGCAGAACCTACTTACCAGCTCTGGACCAACCGGACTGATGGAGTTCTTAGCAAGTTGTCTGGCAATAAGTTGATCTCTTTCATGATGTTTGCCAACCTCACAGGCAACTCCTGTCTAAGGAAGGCGAATGATGTTTTTTCACATGCATTTTCTGAGCCTGGAGGGTGAAGGTACAAACGGAAATCTCAGAAACCTCTTGTGTTATTATTTTAAATAATAATGTAGGAGGCATCACATATCTACATTCAGCAATTTTGTCATACCATTTATAACATGGTCATTGTGGGCAATTCTGCAAAGTAAGGCCCCACACTACTCTATTTTTCTGATGCTTTCATTATGTCTTGATTTGTTATCCTTTCTTTCCTATCCTCATCTTGTGTGCAAGAGTGACTTTCTCAAATGACAAATTAAAAATTTAAAATCTGCATGGAGCGTCTTAGCCTGGGATTCTGGGACTCTGGGCTCCACCTGGGGTCAAGAGTTGAATATCAAGGGTCACCAGATGATGATCAAGATAGGATAAAATACAAAAACATTCAGCTGTTTTCATACCTTTGCATTTTTGTAATGAAATATTGTGTAATTTCCTTTAAAATGCCAAATTAAACAATGTGAGAAGGGAATTCGTTATTTGATTGAAGTGCACACAGCTCATGGAAATGCAACCACTGCCTTAAAAAAGACAAACACATCACCGTGTACACAGCTTACCAAGACATGAGTCACAATGACTGTAAACGTGAATGTGTATGTCTGTGTGTGTGCACACCACCTCTTACCAAAATCCAAAAATTGCTTCATTGAAAGAGGGGAGGGTGAAAATTTGGAGTAATAGTCTATGTCCTTTCCTATGGACACGCTGCTCCTCAGGAACCTTAAAATCCTCATGTTGACGTGCCGCTCACTCGACCGACGATGTTGTTCAGACGGTGTCGCGAACTGAAATGGTAATGATCAAGTTTAATGACAGCTGACAGTTACAATTGGATATATCTGTTGTCTTTAGCTTGTCGGCTAACTTCAGCAGCTCGCAAACACATTCGTTAAAAATAAACGGCCTGTTGTCAAGTGGTTTTGATGAAATGTGTACATCCATAGTCACCTCTACCATATAATATATCCAAATGGTCCCTTACTTCAGTTTACTCGTTGCTCAATCCTTAGAGGCAGATCCGTCAACATGTCAAAACGGTTGTGAAGGTACTCAGTGTGCTGCTAGCTAATCCAAAGAGTCACAACGATCTCAAGAGAAATTGCTGCCAGTCGACTTTGTTAAGACAAAACGTTATTGACTAAAATACATCTCAATGATTTACATGATAAACAGTGTCGTGTTTATCATAGTTATATTTTTTAGTTTTCGTGTTTTGCTTTTTTATTTGCCACGGTTTCCGTGATTTTAAAACAGTGTTATGAGAGTTAACTGCACGATATTGTAGGCGCTCGAGTAATATGTTGCGTTCATGACACCGCGGAAAGTCGGAAATTACTATTCCATCTCGAAAAATATGAAAAAGTTACTTGACGTCATAACAAAACAATCATGACAACTCCGATGTGACTGGTAGGGATGATACATTTATAAACGCTATTTAACTACTTAAATATTGTGTGTGATTTATTTACATGTTTATATAGATATTCATTACGTTTTTGCAAAGACGTTTGCAATAATTGATATTAGCCCCACTAGTCTACCCGAGCGTCATTGATATTAACATGATTGGCTATTGATGTGATGATGTTGCTTCGGGCATCCATGTTGTTTTCCGAGATGATCGTGTGAACGCATGTTTTTCGGAACTCGGGCGTTCCCACTCAGACGTTTCCGAGTTTACAGCTTTTTATATATATACAGTCTATGGTTCACAGGCGCTTGGTTCCAGACAGAGTTGTGATTGGACTCTACATCTGCCAATCTTTATCAACAGACGCGGTGCTTGTGTGCTATCAGACAGTACTCCGGGCAAAACTGTTACCCGCAGCTTTGTTCCTAACTGCCGTCATTTCCTGTAGTCATCCAAAAAAATGGCTGCGTGAAGAAGCGACGAGGCTACGAGCCACGTTTTTGTGAAAGATGTGTTGTTAGTCTTTGGTCCTCGTGTCGATCAAGGTAAAGCCAATAGACATTTGATCAACTTTATTAACTGCTAACGTCTGGAAAGTTATTGTAAGAGGAAACGTTTCATCGATAACTTCAGCTGAACCAGCTCGTTGTTGTGACCCGCCAAAAGCCACAGAGGTTCAGCGAGGAAGTGACCATTTTGTAAACTGCTTTCGATAACGTTACACTTCATCTCCGTGAGAAAGAAATGAGTGGTGGGTTTAACTTCGGGCAGCCCTCTGCGGGCTTCACTTTCGGGGCTCAGAAGACCACAGCCGCAACGCCCGGCACCGGTTTTGGGCTGACAAGCTCCACACCTGCAGCCTCCGGAGGGGGCTTCACCTTCGGCACTTCTGCCCAGGCCAACACCAACTCTGCAAGCACTTTTAGCTTCGGCACCCCAGCGAAGAGCACAGCAGCCGGCGGAGGATTCTCTTTTGGTACCCCCACCACCACATTTGGTCTGGGCGCTGCTCCTCAAACCACAGCAGCAGCAGCAGGGTTGACTTTAGGCTCCACGGCAGCTCCAGCTGCGGCGTCAGGTTTTACCCTGGGCGGTGGTATGCCCGCACAGACCACCGCTGCCGCCCCTCCAGGAGGGGGCTTCACCTTTGGGACCGCTCCTCAGGCTCAACCCCAACTTGCTGCAGCAGCAACAGCCGCACCAGCCACAACGACAGCATCAGGTGGTCTCTCGTTTGGAGGGTTTAGTTTTGGAGCTACAAAAGTCCAAGTGACCACAGCTGCTGCCTCTACTGCTCCCACAGGAGGTTTCAGTTTTGGCACTAGTGCTCCTTCCAACCTCACCCTGGCCACCCAGCCCCAGCCTCAGCTCCAACTCCAGCCTCAGCTACAGCCTCAGCTCCAGTCCCAGCTTCAGCCCCAGCTCCAGCCCCAACTCCAGCCCCAACTCCAGCCCCAGCTCCAGCCCCAGCTCCAGCCCCAGCTCCAGCCCCAACTCCAGCCCCAGCTCCAGCCTCAGCCCCAGCCAATCTCCACTGCTGCAGCCACGACAGGTCAGGGTGGAGGATTTGCTTTTGGGATTAAACCTTCATCAACCCCAGCTCCTCCTGCGGCAACCCAGCCAGCCCCAGTTACAGGTCCCTCTCTCTTTGCCATGCCTATCACTACAGCACCAGCAGCTGCAGCGGCTGCTGCTGCCGCTGCTGCTGCCGCCGCCGCTGCTGCTGCTGCTCCTCCTCCTGCTCCTGCTGCTACTGCAACAGGTACAGGCTTTACTTTGGGTGTAGCTCCAACTTCAGCAGCAAGTATTGCTCCTGCTGCAACAACCACAGCAGCTGGTGGAGGTTTGTCTTTTATGCTCAAACCTCTGGGGGCAGCTACTGCCACCTCCACCTCTGCCCCTGTCCATGTCTCTACTGCCACAGCTGCAGCTGCCACATCAGGTGCTGCTACAGGCTTTACACTAGGACTCAAACCAGTGTCCGGCACAAGTACCACAACAGCTGTCACAGCTACAACAATCCCTACAACCACAGCTCCTCCAGTGATGACCTACGCCCAGCTAGAGGGTCTCATTAACAAGTGGAGTCTTGAGCTTGAAGACCAAGAGAGACATTTCTTACAGCAGGCAACTCAGGTGAACGCCTGGGACCGCATGCTGGTGGAAAATGGAGAGAAGATCACAGCCCTACATAAGGAGATGGAGAAGGTGAAGCTGGACCAGAGGAGGTTGAACCAAGAGCTGGATTTCATTCTGTCCCAACAGAAGGAGCTGGAGGACTTACTGTGCCCGCTCGAGGAGTCGGTGAAGGAGCAAAGCGGAACCATCTACATGCAGAACGCCGATGAGGAGCGTGAAAGAACGTACAAGCTTGCAGAGAATGTGGACGCACAGCTGAAGAGGATGTCGCAGGACCTGAAGGAGATCATTGAGCACCTCAACACATCCAGTGGCCCAGCAGACACCAGTGATCCAGTAAGATGAGATCAAATTGTAGTTCAACTTGGCTTTACAAAGTTTGGTGCTTTGACATTTATTGTTGTAAAATAAATTAACATATACTTTTCTCTTTTTTTTTTTTTTTCTTAGCTTCAGCAGATCTGTAAAATTCTCAATGCCCACATGGATTCTCTTCAGTGGATCGATCAGAATTCAGTCCTTCTGCAAAGACGAGTGGAGGAAGTGTCCAAACTGTGTGACAACCAGCGCAAGGAGCAGGAGAAAACCTTTCGTTTAACATTTGACTGATCTGAAATAAATATGTTGGCCTGTATACTTTTTCAGTAGTCATAAACAGGGATGCCTTTTTTAGGTGTCAAGATGTTTTGGAATTGCATTGATCACAAGTCCTGTTAAACTGCTTTTCCCCTCAGCTGTTTGGAGTCTTTTGGGTTGCATAAAGATTGATATTTTCAATGCAATAGTTTTTATATAGAATAGTGCAAATGATAATTTCTCCCAATGTAAATGCTTTGCTTGTTCTAAAGAGTATGATTAAATAAACCTTTGGATTAAGGCTGTTTCTTTGGTTAGCAAAATCAGATCGAATACAAACACCAGTGTTTCATTACAGAGGTAGACCTTTGTGCACACATCCAATATACCTGTAAGATTTAAATTATATCAGTGTATGATAATGTCTTATTTGTAAGTGCCACACACATATAGAATTAATTTTACTTTTATCGAGCTGGTTCAACAGAAAATTAATGAGTTATTTTTGATAATTGACTAATTGTTTTTAACAAAGAAAGCTAAATATTATCCAGGTCCAGATTCTCAGTTGTGAGGATTTTCTGCTATTCTTTGCCTTATTTTAGAGTAAACTAAATGTATTTGGGTTTTGATAAATTGTGACAGGAGTTTTTCATGATTTCCTAGAGCAAACTGTCCACTAATTAGAAGGTCGCTGGTTCGATCCCCGGCACCTCCAGGCCACATGTAGAAGTATCCTTGGGCAAGATACTGAACCCCACTTTGCCCCTGATGGCTGTTCCATCAGTATGAATGTGTGAGTGAATGGGTGAATGTGGCAAGTATTGTAAAGCGCTTCGAGTGGTCAGTAAGACTAGAAAAGCCCTGTATAAGTGTAAGTCCATTTACCATTCCTGACATTTTACAAACCAAATGATTCATTTATTGATTGTAAAAATAATCAGATTAATCAATGATGAAAATAAATAGTTGCTGTCCTGCTTTTATATCAGATATACTTATGTGATGAATTTCAACTGTAGCAATCAGTTTTTAAGCATTTTATTATATTTGACAACGTCAACAAGACATCGGTTTTGAATTAAATCTATAAAAACATACTTTTCAGTTACCATCTTCCCTTTGGATTCCTCACATGGAACAAAAACACGTCAGTGATGACCTACAATACAGTGGATGCTACCTGAACGTCACAATAGTGAGAAGATGTGATGTGAAAAACAACCTGCACATGCATTTAGAGTCAGTCGTGGTCATTCGTACACTATTAATTATAGTGACATGATAATGTACCATAATGTCGTTCTAAGGTGGACAGAAGTATTTAATTTGGAAAGTACTGAAACTAGATGCATAAGAGAAATTAAAAATGTTAAAAATATTGTGATGTACATTCATATTACACTGAGCTAGCTGTACCTTCCTTGCATAGACTTTAAGACAGTACAACTTCATAAAAACAGTAGTAAACTTTGCCCTTCGTTGTTCTACTCCGGGGCAGACATAAGACTACAAAAAGATCTTTGGTGGCATGAAAAATTTTTTTTCTTCAAAAAATAAATATACAGTGTGCATTAAGTATTTAAATATATACAAAAATGGTCATCATTTATACAGTGTAAACATTCAAAGATGTGAACTCAACTAGTTCCCAGTTAAATCACTGAGCATCATGTTCACCAAAGGAACAACAAACAAAGTTCAGTGTATTTGTGCCTCAACACTTTAAGAATAAAATGGTTATCCCCAGATGCAAAAATCATTTGAACAGAGAAATGAGTCATGAGTAGCTTTCGTTGTCGATCCAAGTTGTCATCCACTGCTTTTTTTCAAAAGGATCAAGGTTGACTTTTCCATCCTTATACTCAGGAGTTTCCTTTCTTATCCGCACTGCGTGGTAACGAGGGACGCTGCTATCTTGTTTGGAGCGTTTGAAGAATCCACACTGAGAGGAGAGATTTCAAAAACACAATGTTTCAAAAACAGTGCCTTGTTAAAAAAACTGATGAATGTCAGAAATATTTATGCGCAGTGTAAACAACAGGAAAAGGGGGGTGGGGGGTGCAGGAATGTTAAGCATGCTTTATAGTTTTTAAGAGGACATTTCAAACAGCCAAGCAGTAAAAGTCATGTCAGCAAAAGCACCTGCAAAGCACAATTACAAAAATGGATTTTGAGGAAGAAAATATGAAGCCTGCGGGTCAGAAAATACATTAATTTCTTTGCAAAATTCAGAGACACATATTGTGACAAATACCTGAAAACTTAAAGTATATTTTTCTAACAGTATCAATTCAATATTTTTTCAGGTTAAACTTAAGCTTAAAAAGTGTGTGATGTAAATTTTTCCAGATAACCTGCAAAGTCATCAGCTTTGTACAATATGTGTCTGATTGAATTTTTCCGCATTAAATCAGCTGATTTGCCTGGAAAGTTCATTAGCGACTGCAGTAATCACACTCCATGCTGACAGCTTGTTTTTACCCCTGTTCAGAGTATAAATCAGGCCTCAGCAGAGAGTTTGTCTTTGTCAGAGGGTTGAACATGGATCTCTGCCTTGTGATATGCAGCATCATATTGGTCTTTGGTTGCTCTCTTGAAGAAACCACACTGAGGGGGAGTAAGGGTGATGAATGGTTAAGGGTGACAAACTGAAGCAGTGATAATAGTCAATAGCTAATATGATTGCTTTCAGCAAAAACAACAGAGAAATACATTTTGATGAGGAAACTTCTTAATCTGGAGAGTCCAGTGTTGCTCAAATGTCACTGACAACCAGATGTTTCTTGCTTATTTGCTGCTCATCCTCAGAATGTCCTGGCTGATGCCATTTAAACCTGAACCCAAATCAAACCTGGACCCACTTTAATATTAACCTCAGACTCAGACCCTGAGTACCTACAGACTAACACACTCAATCTTTTACATAGATAAATACATTATGACCACTTGATTATTAAGTTTAAATGGAAGCAAACAAAGGTTGAAATAATGTCTCTGACCATCTTACAAACAACTGAATACTTCATTGTTAAATTTAACCACTACTGAATACTTTTATTTCTGTGTTGTAATTTTAAGGAATATAGTTTGATATTTTGGGAGTGAACATTTTTGTTTTGTGGCAGAGAGTTAGACCAGAAGATCGATACCACTCCAAGTAGTCAAGCCAAGAAGTAGGTTAAACAAAAAAATATATAATTAATTCATTAGTAAACTTATAAGAGAGCCAGGCTAACTGTTTCCAGTCATGTTGCTAAGCTAAGCTGGCTATAGCTTCATTATTAGCACACTGACATGAGAGTGGTAATGATCTTCTCATCTAACTCTCGTCAAGACAGCGAATTAACGTAGCTCCTAAAATGTCAAACTATTCCTTTAAATACGACTGACTTTAAAGTAGTAAAATATTTTACTTTGACAACCAAAAAATATGGTTAAATACTTGTTAGATTTTCACAAGCAGGTATTCAGTTGCTTATAACATTCTTATTATATTGCCTGTTTTTTGATTCCATAGATTTACAGACTACTGTGTGCTGCTGCTTCCTGTCAGCCACCATTAAAAGAAACTGTAATTGTAGACTGTAGACAGCAACTAAGCATCTATTCAGCTATTTCAGGTTTATATTTTTAACTATATTTTGTATTATACAGAATATAATGTAAAACAACAAGTAATACTGCAACTAATTATTTACATTGTTGTCTAATCTCTTATTTTTTGATTTACAATTAATCAGACAAGTATTTAGTCTAGAAATGTCACAATAATGGTAAGCACAGCCCAAAATGAGACCTTCAATTTGCTTATTTTGAAAGCCCAAAAATATACATAGGTATTATTAATAATATATAATAATAATATAAAACCAAGGACAACCACATATTTTAAAAATCTGCAACCAGCAAATAAAAACTAGCAAGGTAAATAAATTATTTTTTCAAGCTTCTTCATATCTTCTACTGTTCACAGAATTCACCTTCTCTGACCTAATTTCCCTACTAGGTTTAATGAAGTTCATGTTCTATCTCCTACCCCTTTGTCATCTCAACATCCTCACATCTGACATGGAGATGTAGGATCCTTTTACTCACCTTCCAGAGCAGAAACACCAACAAAGCCAGAATCAGGATGCCTGCAAGAACAGCTACCAGTATGATCCACCAGGGAACTCCTCCATACTGTGCTACTTCCCTTTCTGGGGACACTGCCACTGTCACCTGCAATAAAACATCAAAGTGAGGGAAACCAAGTGATCAGGTGGCTGATAGGATGAAGGTGGTAAACAGTTTATAATTTGGTGCAGCTGCTGAGCTACTTACATCAGTGTCAGGAGTTGTCAGGATCATGTTTTCAGCCTGAGCATGAAGCATGAGCGAGGCCTTCACAACTATATGCAAAGTCGAAACAGAGGCATAATCCTGTGTAAAAACAGAAACATCTGTTCACGTAAGATAGTCATACCAAATCATGAGTTCCAGTATGATTAAACACTGATGAGAAACATAAATATACAATATAGCACCTCAATAAAGGTTGAGTTCCACAGACGAGACCTCAGCTCAATTGTTGTATCGTCCAGGCCCTGCAGGGGGCACTTGAGCACCACACATTTGATCCCATTCTCACACGTCTAGGAAAAGAAAGGTCCTTTTACACATCAAATCTACACCTTTGTAAAAAGAACATGGATACATCCATGCAAAGACTCACCAAAACTTTATTTTTGTCTGACAGAGAAGACTTTTTTCTCCCAGTTTTTCTTTGTTTTCTCTCAATTTCCCGTTTTGTACGGGACAGCGTGGACTTCTGAAAGCACATTTCCTCTCATTAATACAAACCAGAATTAAGCAGTGAAGGGTAGCCATGTAATGGCTGAGTTTTACTTTAAGCACATGAAAACTGCAATCTAAAAAAATCCTACCTGGATGTGTTTGAGAAAGTTGATCTCAGACTCAGGAGAGCAATGGATATCCTCCCGTCCTGTAGCAGTGACCTTCACCAGGTACAAAAGCCATTTCCCATCTTTGTTGAATTTGGGCCACTGAATGTGTAGTGAGGCCTTAACGGGAGACTTCAAAGACTTCCACAAGTTGTTTATCTGCAGGAAATAACAATACAGTAGTTTTTATAACAGCAATGCTTTAATAATAATAATAATAATAATAATAATAATAATACTACTACACGCAAGCAGGCCAGATAAATAAACTTACTCTAAATGTATAGTTAATCAAGCTTCCAATCTCTTCTTCTGTCTTCATGGCACTTTCTCCTTTCACAACACCTCCAAAGGAAACCTGATTCGGGCTGGCCTCCCTGAGGAACACAAGCAAATATTTTTATTTCACATACTGTTGGATATCTACTGTATCTGTAGACAAGCAGTCACGCCGTATTTACAGGAACACACTTACCCACTGACTGACAATGGCAATTCAATGATCACTTGAGCCTTTACTTTCACAGAGGCAATGTTTTCTTGCACACTGGTCCTGAAAGAAAAAAAAAACAAAACAAAAAAAAAAAGCATAGTGCAATACACCGTTATATAACATTAGCAGCTTACCTGAAAATACAGGACGAAGCATGATTTATGAATAGTTGCATGTTGCAGTTTTACAGTATTTCCTTACATGTACAGAACATAACAGAGCTCAGCTCAGCATCTGTAGCAGTAGTACTTACGTTTGGAGCTGCAGGTCAATGTCAATCTCTGTCGTGTCAAGAGACATACCCACGGTGCTCAGGATGATATAAAATGTAGTCTTGTGGGAAACAGGAAAAAACATCTCTCACATTTGAACAACTAAATGTCAAAGTAAGGATTAACATGTAAACATGACAAGTCTGTACCTCTGAGTCTCTCTTAAAAGGATTTCCCAGCTCACAGTCTGCTTGAGAGCCATTCTGATTGGCATTACAGATGACCACCTTTTCCACCTGGAAAGAACATATTATAAGATTTGATCACCTTAGGGGTTATTAAACTACCTAGAGACCTAATCAGTGCAGATATGATGCGATGATATGATGTACACAAGTATGCTGGTAGTGAGTGTAGACTTACCATTGACTGATGTGGGCGGACCCCAGAATATGACAGTGCATCCGGGAAAGTCCCCACCAGCTTTGCCTCATAAGCATCATCTCCATTCATGTTTTTCACTGTCACCTGCAGAGCCAAGTCCTTCCTCTCATAGTTCAGATGAAACACAGGAATATTGTTCTTGCTGCAGGTACACAAACATGACCACTTACTTCAGGCTGAGCTTGGTGGAATAAAACAGGCCTGCGATATATTGTTTTCATATATCAAAATTGGCGCAAAATTGTTTGAAATTGGTGCAAAATTGAAGCAAATTTAAGTAAATTATTCCATCACTTTCTAGCTCTGGTTTGTATTATGAGGACCTAAAACTAGTAGATGTGGGGGTTGACTTTTATTGGGATTAGAAGTAAAAGCAATGTTTAAAATGTTGTTCACTATAGGTTTAATGAATGAATTTGACCTTATCTTACAACAATTTTAAGATCACATTTTATTAACCTGCTGCTTAGAAGAGTGGAAATGGTAGAACTTACATGGGCAGTGGGGAGTGCATTTTGTTTTGTTTGTAGTATAGTTTGTATTCCATCTTCAGGTTACTACGACAAATATGATCACTTCCACACCCCTCTTTTACAAAGTTGACCTGTAACAACAAGAAAGCCATAAACGAACTTTACTTTAACTTACAAACTTTAATTTTAACATTTTTATTAAACTAATGATAAATAATAAATGCACTCTACATGTTTACCTCAATGACTTCTTTGCTTTTTTGAGAGGAGTCTAATATAGGCATAAGCTGAGGGAGGCCATTCCTTGTCTTCTGTCGCTTTGTACCCAGAATTTCTGCAGACACCTCAATGGGAATGCTTCGCATCTTGTCCTTAATGTTGTCCTGTGGGAAGCAGAAACAGCCGCTGTGGTATGGAGCATAATAATTGCTTCTACATGTGTTTTATTATACAATGGGAAGGTTTTTTATTCAAATAGATAGTATCTGCTTTTAACTGAAAACAATAAAAACATTATTTCAAACTAATAAACATTATTTGTTTAGTTACTCTCAAATAACTGCAGTCTGTATCACAACTGGTTTTGGTGCTGATTTGCTCTCCTCTGTGCTGCTTGTGGAGCTCAGCATTATAGATTCAGGCAGTCATAACTACTATCTTGAGACTGTTATGGAAAATATATAAAAAGTATATAAAGACATATCATTTGAAAATATTCTGCAGCGCACATGGTGTAAATCTCATCTGTAAATTTACATCAAGGCTGCAACTAACTGCTGATTATTTTGTTGATTAAGTAATAAGTAACTCGGTCAATAAATGTCAGAAAATATTAGAAAATACATTTTCTAAATCCCAATGTGACCTCATTATATTGCCTGTCGTATCAACAGTCCAGAACTCAAATATATTTAGTTTCTTATCACATATTATAAAAAAAAAAAAAAAAAAAAAAAAAAAAAAAAAAAAAAAAAAAAAAAAAGCAGCAAATTCTCACAATTGAGCAGCAGGAACCAGACAATGTTTGACATTTTTACTTGAAAAATGTCTACAAAGATTAATCAATTATCAAAATATAAGCCAATTAATTTTTGGTTGATTGACTAACTAATTGATAAACTAATTGTTTCAGCTTTATAATGCTTATAGGATATGATTTAAATAATCTCCTCAAGGAGATTACATTTATTGATACATAGTATGTGTGCAGACTCACTTAAATCGTTGGATTATATCCTGCCAATGTGGTTTAGGTGGTTGATATGTTTTACCTTAAGTTTGGCTTTTATCTTGATGCATGTTGCCTGCTTTTGGCCACGAAGGTCTATGGTGCTGTTAAATTGGTAGTCTGTGTCAGTGCGGGATTTGTTCTCAAACGTCACTCTGGAGGGCAGCCCCTGTTTCCTTCGATCTCCATCTGCCTCGACAGAGTAGCTGATAGCTGCAGTGTAGGGGAAAAGCATGGGTAAGAGAAAATGGCTGAACAATCTTGTATCAAGGATCATAAGTCTTCTTTTACTTACTTAGTTTAGGGCTGTAGGATGCATGATTTGCCGTGTAGGTGAAGCATGCGTCGACGGTGAAGCTGTAGATGAGAAATTGATGTTTTAATAATTCAAATAAATGATGTTTTGAGCGAGCTATGTTTAAATATAAGAATATCAGAACACCTACCAAATGCTGTTACCGCAGGTTTTGATTGTAAGGTCGATTTCCTGTGGAGATATTTTGACATTTCTCCTGATGCTAATGACTGGCCGTGCCCTGGGAGAAAGGTTGTTAAATTAAGTTGTGATAGAAATCAGTAGGGTTTCATTTTACTTACAATATATGAGGAAATAATTACCTGTAAATTAGAGCTGTGTCCGACAGAGAGCCTACAGCCAGGTCTGGATAAGAATTACTGTCCAGGTCCATGTTTCCTGCCAGAGAATAACCAAAAAATCGGAGGTTGTGGTCTTTTCCTGAAAGGATCTGCGATAAAGAGAAAAGTTTAACAAGGAATGACAAATTGGATGATAAACTTGGCCAGCAAATTTGTAAAATAACATAACATGGATGTTTTTTTATTCTCTATAATCAGGAGCTACAATGATTTGCAGACATTTGACAAGATAGCACTTTAAATGAAAGATGACATACTAAATGACTGGAGAGATCAAAGACTTGTGACCACCTGAAAAGATTCCCATAAAAAACATAAAAAGGCAGACCTGTGCAGGACTGGTGTTGATCCCTTGTACAGAGCCATGATAAATGTAGACTTTTCCTGCCCCGCTGTCATCATGAGGAGATCCGATGGCAATGTCTGAATGAGAAAGTAATCATTTACTATAATGTGACAGCAACTGATAGAGAGAACATAAATGAGCAACAAAATGACATTTAAATTACCTTTATAAGAGTCTTGATTGATGTCTCCAATGTTCTCCACTGCCAGTCCAAACATCGAGTCTTTGGTCCCATTCAGACGGATAGGAGTGATCTTTTCCCACCTTCCTGCCTTGTTGATATAGACATAAACAGCCCCTCCTACATCTCTGTCCTTCATGTAGAACTGAGGGGCTCCTACAACTATGTCCTGCCATCTAGATCAAAAAAGGGAGGTAAACATTTATCAGTATCATACAGAATGCAACCTAATAAATAAAGTCCACTGAAAGGAAAACATTGAAATGACACATTAGTAACAGGTTAGGAAGCATTATAATAAAGCAATATTAAAGGAAATCAAGTATAATCCCAAAATCTCAAGGCTATATAAATGTTATGTGTCTTTTATATGTGTGTACACTTTCCTTCACTTTTTGACTTGTACGAATGATGTTGAAAAACCTATTCCCCATTAAGATTGAATTATATGTATGCAGAATAAAGGCTGTGAGAAATGTTACCCACCCATCACCATTAAGGTCAACTACAGCCACATCGTATCCAAAGGAGGATGCCAGTCCTGGTCCATGCAGAGTGTGCTCCACAGAGAGTCTGGTAGAGGCCTCCCTCTCTTTCCTCAACAGGACCACTGCTCCACTGTGATTGGCTCTGGGTGCTCCAGCCACCACCGTGAGGCCACGACCCCTGGTAATGCTGTGTCCCGAATCAAGGGAGAACCCTAAAGTGTGAGACATAAATAGGACATAAATATCTTAATTTACACTGAAAAAATACCTTTCTAATTACCTGTTTTCTCCCTAATTTCGAATATCACCCTATCCCAGTCATGGCTAAAGTGGCACTCACAGCCATTTCTTTTTTTCCTGTCAGTTAGGAATTTCAGTGAAACAGCTTAACACATGTACAGATTCACAATATCATCCCATGTCTCTGTGCAGGTGTCCTGACCAACCAGTAGGAGTCGCTGCCAAATCTGTGCAATGCAGTAGTTCCCAGTGGTCCCCAGTGGTCATCCTCATCTTTAGAAGCCAAAATCCAATCCAATTCTTAAACTAATGAGTTGAATTTCATTTTGAATCATTATCTATCTTTTCATACAGGTTGCGCATTCATTTCTGTTGTGCAAATAAAAATACAAGTGATACTTTACCCAAACTGACAAGTTTTCCTCACAAAAGACACAAAGCTTCTCTGCTATATTGACAGTGAAAAGAGCAAGATAAGGTTCTTCATATTTTGGATTTGACTGACTGGTTGCTTAATTAGCGCCACTGCAAATCTTGTACTTATAGACATTGTTTTGTTTTATGAATAACTCCTGCTGACCTGAATCTTAAAAGCCTTGTTACCATCTCAGTACCGTCGCGTCTTTATAGTTCCAAAATGAATCAGATTCGAAGACCTTTTTCACAGCAGACAAAGCAGGAAAAACGCAGGTGCAACTAATAACATTAATGATGGCTCTGTTCCAGTAATTGAAATGCAATGCAGCAGTTAATTACGTTATTAGTTACACCTGTGTCTGACAAGTAAATATGTCTGATGTGACAAAGGTGATTCAACTTTAGTTTAACTCCACATTTTTTCCTTTGGTCAAATCTTTGAATAGGTATTGCATATTTGTTTAAAAGTAACAAAGGGGGAGGGAGTTTAAAAAAGAAAAGCTTAAATTAAAAGTCATGTTTACCAGTAAAATAATAATGAACAGTACTCTTGAGGCAAACATGAAAATGTAGCCAAACAATAAAATATAGCGGCAGGATATAGGTGACACACAAAAATAGCCACTGCATTTCTGTTTCGTGGGTGGATACTCACCGAGGTAGCTGTTGGCAGGAACAGGCACCAGCTCAGGGTTCAAGAGATGCTCATCTCCAACTTCATATGGGCCGTCATCATACACTCCCATCTCCAGCAAAGTGTTGTTCTTTTGCTCCACTCGCACAATGCCTGCACAGGTTAGCGAGTAGAGATGTAGATGTTAACAGGTATAAACAAGAAATCTTTATTTTAGGATTTAAAAAAAAACAAACACCAGATTACTTGTTTTAACAGAATGAGAAATCTGACGCCCCCAGCAAAGCACTGTGTGTTTATGGTTAGTTAATGACCTTTCCAGTTGTAAGCTCCTGGTGCTCCAAACACCACGTAATGGTAGTCCTTGGTGAAGGTGGCAGCCAAACCCTGCTGACAAGATCCAAACATCTCATGGCTTCTGGCTCTGCCCTCACAGAAGTTCCAGCTACCTCCGTCCTCATCAGAGGACGAGTCAATAGTCAGGTCCTGACTCAGCACATAGCAGCGCCCAGTGATGTCACGGGACTCCTGAGGGGTGTTCACAAACAAGCGCCTCTGATAGCGATGAGCACATGTCTGGAATTACAAAACAGGGCTGTGTTTTAGTTCATATTTTGATAACAGAACTCAAGGTTAAGGGGAATGATAGTGCAGGCGCTCAGGCTGACTTACCACAATCTTTCCCCCAGGTCCCTGGCTCTGAACCGTCACCCCCATCCACTGATTCTCCTTGTTCTCAATACGCACATCCTCTTTAAAAATGTAGCAACACAAGACAATGATATGAGCAATGATATTCATTCTTCACGTCTTGATTTCTTACATTGTCCATTTTATTGGTGATGATATACATTGCATTTGTTGTATGGATTTGATGTTAGCGTGAGGCACCTGGACTCCTGTATCAGTGTTGTTTTTTTTACATCAAGGACCAAGATGGATGGAATGGAAGACCATGAAACAAATCTTACACTTTGTTGTGTTATATTTCACACATATGTGGGGCATCTCTGTAAATAAACTAAACTTAACTTAAGTAGGTAGGTAGGTAGGTAGGTAGGTGTTTCTCACCTTCGTTATCGAATTCAATGCGCTCACAATCACTGGACTGAGAGATTTCACATTTATAAAGCCCTCCTGTGATGTTGGCTTTCTGTTTTCCTAAAGCTCTGGCTCTCGGGGCACCGATCAGCAGCCTGAAGAAAAAGAGAAAAACATTACAGGATGAAGTGATAAGTACTGAAATTAGCTTTTAGTTGTAGTCACCTGTCATCACTCTGACCAGCTACAGTTTCTACATTTTTAAGAAGACCTTCCAACAAGCTCCAGGGCAGCAGCTTGTTGAATTTAGTACATGTATGTGAAAAGATCAACAGTCAGAGTGACAGTGATGGCATAGCAACAGCAAGAATGCAAGTTTTCCTGTCAGGAAAAAGAACGCACCATGCCTTCTGGCTGCCTTCATTTAATACAAATATTGTGGCTACTGTTGGCAGAGTTATTCATTTTACTTCTCCTTTTCTCCGCCTGAATGTCAGAGCAAAATGATAAAGTTGAGAAAAAAGCCCATACTCTAAATCAGAGAGGCTGATGTCCTACTATATTACAATGAAGCTGTGCAGCAAATGTCTCAATCTGAGGTGTCATTGTTAATGACTGTCAATATCGTCAAGAATTAAGAACAAGAGCGACATCCTCTTGGCCTGATCTAACACCAATAACCACAACATTTATGAGGGTTGGGCACATACCACAACCCCATGTTTCCTGCATCTACACTCTCTATCAAATAAGGGCAAAAGTGTCTCTGAGAGGCTAAATGCTAATGCCAGTATACCCACAGGCCAATAATGATAATGCTAGCATGCTCATATTTAACTGGTTTAATGTTGGGAAACTACTAGACAAGCTAAAATTTTGACCTGATGGTTGTGCTAGATGAAAGCTTAAGGCATCACCAAAGTTATTTCAATTCATTCTGTGGGAGACATGAATGTGCATCAAATTTCCTGTGCACACAATTTCCTGGCAATCCATCGAACAGTTGTCAAGACTTTTCATTCAAAACCACAAATGTTGAACTCATAGTGGCTCTACAGGAAAAGTGAGATCATCAAAATAATTTGAATGCATCACCTGAATGTCATGAACCACATGAATGTCTTCAAAAAGTTTCATGACAATCCATACAATAGTTGTGAGTTGAGATATTTCTGCCTGGACTGAAGTGGGGGACTTACCATCAAATAGATTTCCATCCCAACCCCTAGATTGTCAATTTAACAAAACTTGAGTAAAATTAGGATAATATCCTTGATGAAATTATGTTTTAAGAAGAGATTTAAAAGATGATAATATCCTAGTCAGACTTACACCCTACCTTCCATTCATTAATGATGGTAAATATTAACACCACAGAAATTAAGCTGTTTCAATACATGTCTTTAAGTGGTTAATGGACAAACTGCATATTGTGAATTTCATAGGAAGAATGATTTACGTTTAGCCTGTGAAAAGCTGGCAGTGTTCAATCAGTCTCTCAAAGAGCTTCTGTATTTTGTGATACAAAATAATCTAGGTCTAAGTGACAGTAGACTACTGTCCTGACATTCTTCAGAGGGCAAAGGAGCACTGAAGCAGACAATCTAATTTGGAGCGTGTTCAATAATGTAGTTGTTCTGCCCAACTTTCGCTCACTGAGCAAAGCTTCTCTCTCCAAAACCCACATTCTCACAAGCATGAAGAGAGGGTGTGTTTCAAGGGCCACTCATATCAGCAGCTGCTGGGATGATACAATCAGCAACACTTAACGTGAAGAGCGCATCAAACCTTTCCTTTACACATTAATCTTGTCAGAAAATTTGTGAAATTGGTCTTTGACAAATTTTCTTTTTGACTTTTGACTTTACTTAGATCTGCAGGTTAAGGAGAGAAAGACAAAAATAGTAATGTCATTTTGTCAACTGCTATTTTTGTGAATAGTCAATATTAATACATCATTGCCATGGACTCACTGGAGATGCTCAGGAAGGCAGCTGCAGAGAAAAGAATGAACAACTAGCATCAAGTTTGTGTCAAGGGTCATTTAGTTTGGTTATAGCAGACATGATTATGCTTTCAGGACTGTTGACATGATTTTAATACATATTTATAACCACGTGTCTTTTGGCATTACTTCAAATGAACATATCTGGGGACGACTGGGGAATAATTGAGACCTGTACTAACAACTACTTGCTGTGTCCAATTGTGCATTGCTCTTGACACCTCTGAAATGTGGTGACAACTCACTGATTGCATTTGTAACCTTTTACACACTGAAACTCATGCAAGCTATATATGTCAGCATTGCAAGATGTGAGACTGAAAAACAAAAACTGGCCATATTTCCTGTCTGTGGCTGTTATAGCCGAAGTTCATCCTGCATAGAAAAGTCATTCTGAGAAACACCTGACAAGCAAATTTCCTTTAAAAATTTAAGTCCACTAATCTTGGTGGCAAAGTGAAATCATCATATGTGATACTTTAAAAAGTAGTTTATCTATCTATTTAATTTTATTTAATTTGTTTATGAATTGAAGGGACTTGGTGACATAAGTGTTTAACAACTAAAATAACATTACTCAATTGTATCCCAGATGTTATCACACAATTTTGGAATGTGTAAGTGAGGAGACCGGAAAGGCACATCACAACCGCAATGGGACTTACATTAATTAAGGGTTAACCCTATGTCTATGAAAATGGCATCAGTTTACTGGAGATGTCAGTCACTAATGGCTGCTTAGCTGCAAATCCATTTTTCAACCCATTAAAAATGCAACATAAAACTGAATAATTAAATGTCACATCTGTCCGTCTGTTTTTCACACTAAAGTATGATTGCCAGAACTACTAAAATAAGATTTTTGTTTTATAAGAAATTGGTTTTAAGATAATCTTTTGGGGAAAAAAGACTACAAGTAGTACACTTCACAAAGTACGTCACATTACCATGTGTGAAGTGAAGAACTACTCGCAGTGTAGGAATTTTTTCAAATGACTTAGAGGAAATCCTCCCCACCCCTTTCTCCTCCCCATGACTGCAGTTCCTTCTGTTACCTGCCTATTGATCTATGGGACAGAAATGTGGCTCATCATTTGCAAAGCAAGGATTCTCCTGGGGAGGTCTTGTGTCAGACTGAAGACCAAACTGCAAACCCTCTCCTCAAACAAAGCCCAATGAAATGCAAATACAAACAAGAGCCTTTACAAAGTTAGCTTCAATTTGACATTTCAGCCTCTAGCTGTCTTAGCCGAGCATGCTTCATAAACTGATGCTGAATGCCTTGCAAAAGGCTAAGAATCTCTTTTCTGTGTCATCAGAGAGGCAACAAGAACATATATTACTGCAAATTGTAGATATACCTTAAATATAATGCAATCCAATACAGCAACACCATAATCTACAGCACATAAAATTGGATTGCAATAGATGTAGATGTAGATGTAGATGTTTATGTGTCCACCCCATGTCCATTAACCTATTCCCACAGACAGGGACTGCACCCAGTTCAAACTATCAGAGAGAACAAAGAATTTGTGAAATGCATTAACAGAAAGAATGTAATAATACATTTTTGGGTATACTTTGGGATCCAAAAGTCTGAGACCATTTTCCCTGTGACCCCTTCCAATGTATGAAAGATTTGTCCAAAACCTGAGCTTCTGTGCTTTTAAGGACTGAGACATGAAGTGTAAGCTGATTTTCCTAAATGTGTCTTTGCAGCACTGAGATACACCTCCTGCTGTAATGACGGTCAACTCAAGAGAAGCCAAATCCACGAGGGCACATGCAGAAAAACATCACATTTGTGACGAACTTGTTACAAAGGTAAAGAAAAAGCACCTCCTTAACAGCAGGGCTCCTCAGGAAAGGGACAGTTGTAGAATTTAGCATGTAACTGACATGCAACACACGAGTCAAGCAGACACATGAACTAGTTTTTCAATCCGGAAAAAGGCAAAATTTTAGTATCTTTAGAATTTTAGCACTTGATGTAAGGTTTGCATGATATGCTAATACAGACGTCATAGGATATAACTAATACAACTACTGCATTTAAGTTAAAAACATGAAGGGAAACAGTCCACTTGTAAAATCAAGCCTGACACGTTGGTTATATTTACTCAGATGTATCCGCATTGACATACATGTCTGACAGGAAGTAACAAGAATTTGCAGTACAAAAATGGCAAAGATATACTTGTGGAAGAGCGTGATAGTTCATTTCTGACTGTACTTTAACAGCAGAACCTTAGCTCGAGGTCCACTGACTAGCTTTTCTGAGATAGCTTAGGAAAAGGATATGTCAACTGTAAAATCTTCCACTCAGCACATATCATATGAAAAATCACATACTGTGAGTGATCCTTATTAAACACAATGTTAAATCTATATTTAATCTGTGTCGATATATTGTTATTTGATTTTTTTTTTTTTTTCAAATATCAATATCATGGTGCCGATAAAATCTTGTATTGGCCAGGCTACAGCGTGAAACCATATCCCATCATGCAGCATGTCTTTCACTGCAGTGTAAATGGGAATACATAGTGACTGGTGTGGGTTTACACAGTGATCTCACTGATCTTTGTTAACAGATGTGGTCCAGTGCTCCACAGCTGTGCACTCAAAGCCACAAGAACTGCTGCAGCTGTTCTAACTGATTCAGTTTACACACACAAACACACACACACACACACACACACACACACACACACACACACACACACACACACACACACACACACACACACACACTGATTGGTGCTGACCTGTGATTGGCTGGGTACACATCACAGAAGAAACTATGAATACAAACTAGAAGTACAGATCAACTTTAAGTAAAGAATAAAGTTTAAAACAAAGACGTCAGTCTTCTAACTCACCAGTTTTAATCGTGTTTTATTAACCCTTTTCTAAGCACAATAATCTATTTCAAACTTGCCAAACTTGAGTGTAAAGTTTGACTGAAATGTCTCGACTGATGATTCACTTATGCATTTACTCTATCAGGTTACACGTACACAGATGGCTGTGCATGTCCTGTCAAATGGCCTTTTTCTCTGGTTTCATTTAGAGGATGTTATATCCACACCATTACCCAACACGTTATTCATGGAAGAGGCATCCAGTTGCCTCTTTGAAAGATGTAATATTATGACTCACGTTGAAACATAGATCTCCTCGTTTCTTCCTCTCAACACTAACCAATATGAGAAGGAAGGCATAATAACACCATAACCACAGTGAGAATCCAAGTTGTGCTTTCAATGAACCATTAGAGGAACAACATGGATAGAGTTGCATAAATGGTTTCATGCATTATAAATAAAACAATCCTTTAATCACAAGAAGATTTGTTTTTTCAATTGCAGCAAAGAAGATTTGGGTTTCAGCTCTGAAACACAGATGGGATAAAAGGCCAGTTCAAATTTGACATAAAGATGAAATTAATCCATCTAGTTATACATGTTATTCACTTAGCAGATTGTTTAGAAAGGACCCTGTAAGGCCAGCGTTCCTCTCTTCACACAAGATTTATAATGATCAGATTAATGTAAGCAGTGATGGCCAGTAGAATTTTACAGCTGCTAGTGATCATCATTAAACACATGTTCGTATGAGAACAACCAATGCAGAATGTGTGACACATTACTAACTTGTTTTTTTCATGGGCTCAGAATGCCTCACAGCTTTAAGTTAGGCAGAGCTGTTCATTACCTACTTGTGCTCTACTGAGCTTTCCCTTGACTTGTCTGGCTGATTATCTCTGTGTCACATGAGCATTTAGAGCTGAGAGCATGGCTGAGCTGGGAAAGCTGCAGTTGGTTCCATATTTTTTTTTCTCAATTTATAAAAAATATTTAGACCTAATTAATTGAGAAAATAATTTTCATGTTAATAAATAAAAATAACAGTCAGTTGTAGGTCTAATTGTTGGGTAAGAATATAAAATATTCAGTTTACTATCATGTATGAAGAAAAAGCAGGATATCATCACATTTTAGAGGCTGGAACCTTTTTGGTATTTTTCTTTAAAAAAACAATGCCTTGAATCACTGCTGAATTTTAAGATAACTTGAGCAAATATTTAAAAAAAAAAACAAATACATGCAATTGTGTTGTTTGTGTCTGTTCTCAAGAAGCAGTTTTTGTACACATTAGTATAAATGTGTGTAACATGTTTGCAAAAACTGGGCAGCTTTCACATATCAGCATGTAAGTGCAAATCTTCACTCTACTCTTACTTTTAGTGGCTGAAAAACAAACTATAAGGCCAGTGTCACATTTCAAAACTCTGTTTGCACAACAAATATTACATTCAGTTTCACAACTTTCACTCTCTTTACACTTTTTTTGATTGTTTGTGAACAAAACAATCCTTGTAAAACCAAAATTTATAAAGATAGCTTCCAATTTTATGTAGCTGGTGTGTTTATACATCATGAGCTGCCCGTGCACGGTAGCCAAAACAGCAGTCAGATAAAATTCCACAAGTTAAGGCTAATCTGGGTGATCTTTGGGAAATCTAAAAAGCCCTGTTATCAGGGCTTTTCATTCCTGCTCTCTGTTTCTAAACATGCTGCTGCAGGATCCTACAGCTGCTGACCAGTATATAATGCTGTGGCTTTAGCATGCAGCCTCATCCTGTTCGCAGGCTTTGACATGCCACCCCCTCTCCTCCTTTTACCCCCATTATTCTTTGTGAGGCAGGATGATCAGGCTCACTACACAGACATTTTTCTGTCCCCTCTGGGCTAGCCAAAGGAAATGGTTTACTGTAGTGTATGCATGGTAGCATCAGCAGGCATTCATGAAATGCTGCACTGAGGAAATATTCTACAATTTAACTGCTGTTTACTTTTATTTTGGCACAGGCTGAAAACGTCTCTGGATCATTCGAGCATACGTGACTGTCTGAAATGCCTGAAATATGTGACAGCTGAGGTCAGGATGCATCAGTCAGCTGGCATTAACATTCATGTAAGACAACTATAAAGATTATTTACTCATCCCTTCTCAGGGCTGCTTATAAGACGTTCACATGTAACACCACTGGGTGACAAAGCACCTGCTGAAAAGAATAGTCCAAAACCACAAAATATTCTGTTTGAAATGTTGTAAAACAGAGAAAAGGCAGGAAACCTTCACATTTGCAAAGCTTCAATCTGTGAATCTTCTCGATGAATTGTTTAAATGGTAAATCGATAATCTGAATTGTTGAAAACCAATTGATTATTTGACTAACAGTTACAGCATTACACCTCTGCTCTCTGTGCTCCCTCCGTTTGACCTTACAGGCACATTTGCATGACAGTTATAACCATTGTTTATTCACTTGTTGTGCTTGGGTTGTTTCCCATTTATATTCAAGGCATCACGGGGAGGCAGTAGAAATCTATTGAAAAATAGAACAAAAACTCGCATCATCTGATGAGAAACACTGCTTTAGGAGATTATTAGGAGAGAAACTTTTACAGGTTGCTGCAAAGCTTGACATCACGACCTACCGGTGAAAATTTGTTTTTATGTCTTACAAAGGCAGAATCCTTAAAATAAGATGTTCCCTGCCTAGATACAACTTTAACATTAACATTTAAAAGTTGAGATTTACTCATGTCAGTAATTTCACTGGTGCTGTTGTTAACGGTATTTTTAGTCAACAATCGTACATGAAAACAAACAGCAGAAGAGATGTACAGCTGAAGGCATCACTTACATTATTTTATCCGGGTTGACTTGCCGGTGCATGGCGAGAGAAAACCCGAACAGACTCCCCGGCTCTCCGCTTTTCCTGATGACATGACTGGTGTCCAGGTTGAAGGTGAGCACCAGAGGTGACTCCAGAAAATAAAAATGAAACAAAAGTGCAGCACAGACAGCACTGTATGATCCCTGCAGCAACATTGCAGCGCGGTCCAGATGTGTTCAGTAGTCCAAAGTTAAGAGCCCGCTGACCCCGCTGCTCCTCACAGCTCAGCCCGGTGCAGTTTGACTGAAAGAAAGCTGCCGCTCCTTGTTTCCCAACCCAGCTCTGTGCTGCTGCAGCGCCCCCTGTGGTCACCGCTACAGGAGGCCACCTGTTACAGGGTACAGGTAGAGTCTCAGTATTTTTTGACCATATACATTTCAGGTAAAAAATTACATTTACATAACTGACAAGTTTGTCTAAAATGGACAATTTATATTTTACTATATGTCTCGCAGCTGATGATAATTCAAAATATGACTCCAATGTACCTTACAGTATAAACCTTGTATTCAGGAAGCTTTTAGTCATGTTGTGTGTTTAAAAAGGTTCCAATCTTGCATTTAGATTTTTGATAGTGGGATATATTTTTGCTTAAGGATCTGTGCATTTAAGCACAGACAGTTCAAACCTGGAAATAAAGTCTGACACTGGCACCTTATGTTGTTCTCCTGCAATAAATATAATAGAATCAAATCTGTTCTATGATAAATTAAAAGAATGCCATCTGATCATCACAACAGAGCTAAATGTCACAGTTTGGTTCTCCCTCCATATTCCTCCATGTTGAAAACACTAACTAATATGCCAAACCCAGACTAACGTGACAACCATACATCACCCAGTCTCATCACTGCCTTAAGTTATTGACTCCTTATCTTTGAAGTTAGCTTACAGGTGAACTGAGAATTTAATCACTTCCAGGTCAAATGTTCCCAACTATAAAAACAGGGTCAGAGACTGAAGCACCATGGGACAGCTGCTGGTAGAATGAATATTAATAAAGTTCCCATAATCTGCCTGTATATTTCTTAGAATAATTTTCATCTAAAGGCCAGTTTTCTCCATTTCCTTTAGAAATGCATGTAAAAGCCTCAAACATAAACATTAATGCCATTGTTGGATAAAACTATGATGAGCTGAAATCTGTATATTAATCTTATTCTGTTATATAAATACTGTATTCCCATTTTTCCTTTGGTTCATTTACAGATACAATTTTAGGAGTAATAGCAGGAAAAACAAATGGAACACCCAAGTACACACATTAGTGAAGGTCACTTTGCTATTTTAGTTGGGTGGAAGCAGATAAATATCAAGTCAGGTGTGTCAGTCAGCTGGACAAATACTGTAAACCTCCAAAATTTAGACAGACAACGAGACAAGCTGCTGTAAGTCACTAAAAGGCTGCAAGAGCTGATTAAGAGGAAGATAGAACGAACAGTTCAGCAGTTTCAGAATCTATTGTAAAAAGCCTAAGGTTTTATCTGACTTAAAAACAAACAAAACAAAACAAAACAAAATATTTGGTTAGGGGCAATATATTCTGGATCTGGGGTTGCTCATCCTTCCATAAAAATTGTAATAAATTATTAATGTGCGCTTTCATTAATAACACCTGCTGAGGACTGGGTTCATAAATAATTAATCTCTATACACACAACACATGAGAGATCTTCAGTCACCGCAGGGTGTCCCAACACTTATTTCATGTCAAAAGCTTTATCTTTTGATTATGTTCACATTTAAACCAATTGAAGGATTATACTCTCTTGAGATATTAGGTAAGTGTTAAGTGTCATGATTCTCCAGGTTTAAGACATTTGGTCACAAACAGCTGAACAAACTGCTTAAACATGGTTTTTTTCAGTTCCTGAAAAGCTGACATTTAGGAGGTTTCCACCCACCAGCAGCATGATATGAGCCGGTATGGGTCATCTTCCAAACCTGCAAAAAACATGAAACAGCTTCATTGTATCGCACTCTCACTTCTCACAGCGTATCTTCTGGTGTTTGATGGTAGTGTGAAGTTTGAGCCAGCCCGAACCACAATCACACAACAGAACATAACACAATGTGGGCATTGTTGAAGTTAGAGAGCCCTCTGTGTGTCTGAGTGTGTGCGTCTGTACTTGTATGTGTGTCAGCAAGCAGGGGCTGAGGGGGTGCAGTAGGGTCTTAACCACATTCCTAATTGCAGCAAATGATTTGGGAGGTTTGAGTGTAAGATATGTGAAAGGCATCTCTGTTGCTGTGGGTTTGGTAACAGATGCATCATAAGCCTCCTCACTGATGTCACCCAGATTCTCCAGTAAAAGACGTGTAAGATCCCCAACATCCATTGTCTGCTGGCAGAAACATGACTAATTGTTGGTCGGTACACATTGGTGTCCAAACAGAATAGACACCAACGTGTCCATTCTGGCCTCTTAAATATATATTTTTTAAAAGTGAGACATATAAATCAGATTTACGTCGATAAATATGCAGCATGTCTGTTCACATCCATTTCATGATGTAATTCTGCTGTTAACACATATATATTAATATTGTATACTTTTTCTAAATTCCTCCAGTTGTTGCTCTTTATTCTAAATCCCTATCACATTTCCTAGATCTAGTCCTAAGTTTCGATCCTTAGCTCTGTAACTCAAACACCTCTCTATCTAATAAACATGATGTAGCCGGAAGTACCGTAAATCTTCTGCATGTATACATATAGCCTATAGTTGATATTAACCTAATGCATTTAGTATTGAATTATTGAAATTGTATCCCTCAATCTAATTCTTAATTAATTAGACACTGATTAACTCTGATCGTTTTGTTACTCTTGATTGTTCACAGTAATCTTGATTAGCCAATCAAAACAAGTTAAAAGATTTAAATGCACAGATACACATTATATTATGAATGCTATGGCACATGTACCCTAAGCTAATTAGTAGTGTGTCTAAATTTATTTTTATAGGAATAATTGTACAATACATCAATGTATGCTTGCAAAAATGTAAATCCCTATAGGTTAAATGATATTCTATTGAGAGACTTGTCAGATTAGAGTGATACTGATGACTCATTTATGTGATTAGGTTTGATAAATCTATTCATACTAAATAAAGAAAAAAAAGCTCAGTTGCTTGAATTGTTCTTCAGTTACTTGCTTAGTATGATTTGTGTGTGTCCTTGTGAGTGAAAAGGTGTGTAACTGCCTTTGCCTGAGTTCAACCAACCACATAAACAGCACTTTCATGTCCATTTTTGCCCTGGGTGGTTGTGTAACATGAGCTCTGAGAGGAGGTGAACCTACCCGGCTTTCGTATTGTCTCAGGTCAGTGGGAACAGAGAAACTGGAGAGACGGTGCAGGTCAAACAGGTGGACCCCTGCAGGTGACGAGGGCTTTCTTCACAGATTAGTTGCACCTTTGTATGAACAAAATGATCACTGACTTGGCCCCCTGGTCAAATCAGTGGTGAAGATATTAAGTTTCATTTATGGGTAAGGAATTGGAGCCCGTTTCTAATGCTACCTACATATATATTCCACTGGTTTGATTATTGGAAGAAGAAATGAATCAGTTAAAGTAAAATATTGTTTGTTCTATCTTCCTCTTAATCAAATAAACAAAACTGGAGAATGTTCAACATTATTTTAACTTTCAGAAAAGGGGCAAATAACGCCTTTAATTTCCTTTCAGTTATGCAGTTTCACTTCCAGTGTATTGCAATGTTGGAATTTGCCTTTTATTTGTCATATTTGTAAATCTGTTCTTCTAATCTTTGTTTTATAGCTGGAAAAAGAAACATATTAGCAACTGTTACAGTCTCTTATATCTTTTTGTTTCATATGTGAATGCAGGTTTTGCTTAGAGAAGCATTTGTCCAATAATTGTTAATGGTCAGATTACACAGATTTGCCACATTCAGGATGAAATTGTTTGGTTTTAGAAGCTCTGAGAGTCAAATCCTGTTGTGACAGAAGGGCCAGCTCCTTAAGTTTCACAGGCGTAACAGACGTAACAGAGACTGGTGGAGGAAACCAAACCCAAATGTTATCAGAGAGGCAAGAAAGCATGCCCAAAATGCACAGTTGGCATAGGCAATTTGCTGGGGTGCCAAGACATAAATCCATAGTGATGACTACAATGCAGTACAAACAGATGGATGTTGTTTACTTTAAGACTTCTGTTACACTTAAATGTAGATCCAATCCCAGTGATAATGACATTTATACAGCAGTCATGTAAAACTGACATTTCATTTAGCAATCCTGTGAGGATTTTACATCTGTTTTGCAATCTAGACAACTCATGCCATCCTTGACAGAGATGCTCAGAGTGGTAGGAGTGTTACTGATTTGCCTCCTTCATGCTGCTATTAAGTTTTAGAAGCTCTGAAACGCAAGGCCTGATGAGACAGAAGGGCCAGCTCCTTAAGTTTCAGTGTAATGAAGTCAACTTACCAGCACTGGTGGAGGAAACCAAACCCACAAGTTATCAGAGAGGCATGAAACATGGCCAAAATACAGTTGGCATAGGTCATTTTCCCACTTGTGTGCGAAGGAATGAATATCTTACTCTCTGAATGCAAACACAGCAAAGTGCAGACCAGAGTAATCTTCAGTCCAAGTCCATCAAAATTGAAACAATTTTGGTGCCCAAGAATGAAGCCATATTGATGACCACAAAGCACTGGTAAAACAACGAATGTGTCCAATCAAACTAATGACGTTTTGAGGCATGTAAGATTCATCATGTCATGTTGATTTGGTAAATATTGGACTTCTTGACCTAAAGCCCCATAACAAAACTAATGTCTGTGTTGCAATCTGGACAACTAAATCTGTCCTTGAAAGAAATGCTGGTAATAGTGGTAGTGGTAATAGTGGTAATAGTGGTAATAGTAAAATAAGACAGGAAGGAAGTATAAATGAAATCACCTCAGCAGTGACGGTATTCAGTCATAGGGAAGTTAGAGCTCTCACTGTTTTACCATTGAGGTGCATGGATGCTGAGTGTAGAAGCTGTGTCTGCATCAGTGGGTGTGTGAAGCACGGCATTAAATCATACTGTGTGAAAAGGGAGCAGCTGATCCTGGTCCTGTTGTGATAGTGGTATGGTCCTTTGTAGAAGGACCATCCACAATAAATCTGCTCCACTCCCCTCGCACAAAGGACCGCTTCCATTTATGGCTCCTGGGTGGGGGGTATGCCGCTGAA